CAGTTTTCAATAGAGGAAAGTTAGAAGAGGTACAAATTTTCACAAGAACATGCAGACGAGAATTATGCTTCAAATTTACCAATGCTCCAAATGTTGCAAGATAATTTATGCTTCACAATGACTGCATGTAGACATGAGAACTACATGCAGTGAATTTGAAATATAAATTACTAAGCAAGTCTATTGGCACCGGTTAACATAGCCACCTCTTAAAAGATTATTAGTTAATAAATCAATTACAATTACAGATATCGAACTGACAGGTACATCACACAAGCCCTACTTTGGTTCCCAAGCCTTTTAGATTTGTCTTTCTTTTAAAATCAGAAAGCTCACCATGAAGATGGTAATGTAGGGTATCGTTTGGAACGAAGTCATAGACAAGCAATCTTTGATGCTCAGATATACAGTAACCAACCAGGGAAACCAAATGGCGATGGTGTACACGACTAATAATTTCAACTTCAGCTTTAAACTCACGTTCCCCTTGTCCACCACCAATTTTTAGCTGTTTTACAGCAACTTCCCTTTCATCTTCCAGAACACCTTTGTATACGCAACCAAATCCACCTTCGCCCAAAAGATTCTTTGTCGAAAAACCATTTGTGGCTTGGAGTAGTTCTTCATATGTAAACCATGATCTTGAATTGTTTACTCCACCAGGATCTGATTGTGCATACATGAAATCACTACCAGAACCATTTCCTACAAGGCGAGGTGGAGAATGTGGCTTCAGAAATACTGAATCTGGAGAGCAGAAAAAAGATCCATTAGTTTGAACTAAATGACCTCATTTGCACATTCATCTACAGCTTGTTAGTTAATTCAGAAGCTTGACTTTAATAAGATTTATACAATGTTTTAGCCAGAGCATACAAATCGAGTTTTCCATTTAGTTTCATCTACTAATACTATAATTTAGAGAGGTAATTATCTATTTGGCCCTACTTATAGTAATTTAGGGACTGATTTTTAAGGTTCCCTATTACATTCAGTTTTTCTATAACATTAGGATAATTTAGGTACTTTATTATTTTGGGATTACCTATCTAAATAAGCTTTATTGTAATAAGCTTTTAGATTCTAGCATGTGATTAGTAGTGATTAAGATATCTATTTATGGTTACAGTAATTTTCCTTTTGTTCTAATGTTGTTCCTATTTACTAGTGTCAGACGCTTATTGTCCTCAACCAATAACCTATCAAACCTTATAGTCCTTGTATTCCTGGATGTTCAAATGTGATGCCCATTTTAAATGAAATCACAACTGGGAAAATATTAAAAGGCAAATAATTAGCATTTTACAGTGAATTAAACATTTATAATTCTTCCAATTCTCTTGGAACAGCTGCTACAATTCCTTGTCTGCGAAGCAAATTTGAATACTTAAAAGCGTCAACAAACCAACAAGAAAATGAAATAATTATTGTTGTGCATGTTCACTGTGTTACCTGAATTCTGGGATGAAGCGAGGGGGGAAGGCATGGTGTAACGAAGATTTGATCTAGTTCTTTTCTTGTGCTTCTTTGCAAACCAAACCGCCATAACAACAAGACTGAGCACCAGAAATCCAACTGCAATTCCAATTGCCACAGCTCCTCCCGTGTTTAACCCGCTTGTATTTCTAGATGTGGTATTTGCCGTTACATTGGCATTAGTAGTTGACCTTGCAGTTGGCTTCTGTGGTAAGGGAGTTGGACTTGATGAATTACTAGGTGGAGCTGGAGAACTAAGAGGAGGAGAAGAAGATGAAGGGACTGAAGGAGGTGGTGAATGCAAAGTGGGTTCAGGGGGGGAGTTATCAGCTGGTGGAGGAGCAGATTTAGAACCAGATGGAGGAGGTGTACCAGTGGGGGATGGAGGGGATTTTTCTGGTGCTTTTCCCTGTGGTGGTGGTGGTGAAGAATTGGCCGAACGTGGTGGTGGTGGTGAAGAATTGGCCGAAGGTGGCGGTACATCAGCTGGAGGAGGTGGAGAATCTGAGGTGGACGTAGGTGGAGGTGAGGCTTCTGCTGGAGGTGGTGGGGAAGATTGGGGAGGAGGGGAACCTCTTGATGGAGGCGGTGGGGACGCATTTGGTGGGGGTGCAGATGCAGCAGGAGGAGGGGAAGCTGGTGGCGAAGGTGGTGATGATGCGGGTGGTGATGGTGGGGGTGATGCCACCGGAGGCGATGGGGGTGGAGCAGTTGGAGATGATGGGGGTGGAGACTTGGGAGGGGATGGGGGTGGAGCCTGAGGAGGCGAAGGCGGTGGTGAAGTTGGTGGCGGTGTTGATGGTGGTGGTGATGATTTTGGAGGGGGAACAGCTGGTGTTGCTGGAGGAGGAGACTGAGGACGAGGGGATGAAGCGTCAGAAGGGGTTGCAGTGGTAGTAGTTGACGAATTTGATGGGGCAGGGGAAGCAGGTGGGGGTGGTGAGGTACCAGATGAAGTTGGTGGGACCGCAGAAGGGGAAGAATTTGGAGAAGGTGATGTTGTTGAAGACATCTTTGTATGAAATGAATGCTAAATTCTCTACTTTTTTTTGGCTTTATTATATCAATTCAACTACCAAACTAGCCAAAATCAGTGACAGGAAAAGTCACTCTCACTGAAAATCAAACATCAGCTAACATTACATAACAAAATACAATCGCCAAATGTCTTCCCCACAGCAACAACTAACTATAAACGACCGTTTCTCTGAAAACTGAAAATGCCAGAAATCCCCAATTCAAAAGGACCAGGCAAAACCAATGCTTTCTATTCTAACTCCTTTACTGGCCCCCAAAACTCAGGAAAGTTCAGATGAACCCAAAATTCACAAAAACTAAGCACGACCCAGTTCACAAAACCCTTGAAAGAACAACATTAACACCCAAAAACCCAAAAATTGAGCAAATATCAGATCAACCAAACCCACCATGCGCAAGCTTCAAACTTTAAAACCCAGATTTACTACTACAAGTAAAAGCTGATAACTTTATTGGGCAAATGCAGCAACCCAGATCTCCAAACTGTGCATAGAGAAAACCAAGAAGCTAAAAAACTGGCGCAATTCATACCTCTCCCTCCAGGAAACGGAAATGGGGTTTGCTGTTTGGGAGAGTTGAGTTCTCACAGGATGGAATCTTCGAATGCCAACAGTGTTTTCCCGAGAAAGCAATTTTCCTGGAAAATGGTTAAGACTCTAAAAAGGTGTAGCCCACAAAACACGCTAGTAAACGTGGGGGCGACTTCTGAAGAGTGACTCCACATGCAGAGCGGCAGTGGCAGCCAAAAACAATCGTTGTAAAATTACTCCTACCATTGCGCATGATCACAAATTTTATGCTTAAGCTTACCAAGGGACGCCGTTCTTAGCTGTTTTCTTCCTGTTTTATTTGTCTCTTTTAATGTAATGTTACTAGTGTTTTTTTTCTTCTTCTAATTGAGTTTTATTTGTTTTATAATTTTTTTTTTCTTTTTGAATGGTATAAATTAGAAAAGTATAATCAACCCAATAGAAAGAAGATAAAATGCCAAGCTAAACTCTTTTTGCTTTTTCTATTGAAAGTGACGATAATACTAAACTTACACACACTATACACATGCTAGAACTCGAATTGAAGACCTTAGTTGCAAAAATAATTACTCTAAACTACTACACTAGTGGATCATTTGCGCAAAGCTAAACTCTTTGGCTCTACCAAGCAATGTACAAATGTGAGGGTTCATTTTTATTGTCTTATCCAATTAGTCACTTTTTAATAACCCAATTATATTTTGAAAAGGAAGGAAAAAAAAAACTTTTCAAGCTATAACCTTTCGTTTTTTTTTTTCTTCTGGATTTTGTAAAATAAAAATTTTAATAAAAATAATGGGCTGTCCGTAGTAATTTTGCATCAATGGAGGTGAATAAAAAAACCTTTTTTCTCATTAAAAAAGGAATAAATAAAAGACGAGTCAAAAGAATGAGGCCGCGTAATCCAATAGTCAGCGCTTAAGGTTGTAATAGAAGAGGTGATTTTATGAAATAAATTGTGAGATCTCATTCTCACTGCCAAGTTGCCAACACAGTCTCCCAACTGCCATGTTGTCCCAATGTGCGCATGTTGATGAAACGGCAATAAACAATTCTTAAAACACACAGCCTTTTAACTTGTTTAATTTGTTTGGGGGAGGAGGGTGAGGAGGGGCTTTGTCTTTTGGGTCGTTTTATAAGGTGGTTTAAAACCATGCTCGTAATCTTGAAATCTTCAACTCCAAGGCTTTTGATGAGGGAGGAGGTTGGTTGGTTGGTTGACCTAATGATGGAAGATGGCATGCATTCTTCTCATGGTGACAAGCTAACTGAAATTGATAAATAGCACCTTCTTCTCTTTGATTTTTATATATGTTGGTGTGCAACTCAATTTAGCTTTTGCTTGTCTTTTAGCAACACTATAAATAGCGATGACACTTAATGATTATGATTCTGATAACAATAATTAATATAGTGAAGTGGTGAGATGATAGTGAAAATCTATATATATATATGTTATGACTAACATAGTTGATATTAATGAATGCGATATGGTGCGGTGCTGGTTGTGAGTAAAAATGATGGTGGATTTAAAAACAATAATATTTTAAGATGAGATCTCTAGGTTTGAAAGAAGATGAGACCCTTTCTAATAAGTTACCCAAATAGAACTCTAGCAATATGAATTTTTATTTATAAAAACGAGTTTGTTTATCTATTTTTTTTTTTTTTTGGTTTGAACCATGAGGTGGTCCTGGATGGATCCCAACTATGGGTGGCACCTTTAAGCCTTAACCACAACCCAGACTAATCCCCACTCACACCGGGTCGGCCCGTAAGGGGTAAAGTGTCGGCCAAAGTGGTGACTCCGTACGAAAGCAAGGATCGAACCCCTTATCTATTTATTTTTTACCCATGCTTTAAATATATATTTTTTTAAATAAAGAGGAAAATTCTTGTGGGGCTATGAATAAATGGGCTTTATAATATTTAATAATGCCAAAAGGCTCCAACCATTTTGTAACCCAATTGTCGTTTGGGCCATCCCATCTTACAAAATCCGGATCCAGACCCGAAAATCAAACAGAAAGCACTCCCATAGTCAGAAACCGCGTACCTAAAAGCGTGCACTTCGAATTTCTCCGTCCTCCTCTCTCGAACCCGAGCTTACTCTCTCCGCTCCGGTTCAGAGGTACACGCTTCTTCATCCTCGGTCTTCCCATACTGAAAATTTACTAATCGCGACCTCATTTTTCGTAATCTTCTTTCGAATTCGATATACTGTTCCTATTTCCTTTGGTTGAATGTTAAATTTGTCTTTTGCCGCGTTTTGTCTGCTTGGTTACTGATAAAATGCCGCAAAGAAAACGAACCCAAATTTTTCTTAGTTCCAATATGAAGTAATGAAGTCCAGCAAAGTATGTGTAGCGAAATTTGATTCTAGTAGTGGTTGCTAGTTGAATTGTAAATAGAAATCCATGTCTCACTATCCAGAAATTTTCCAATTTCTGTTTTGTATTGTGTCTTTGTATATGAGTTTATGTGGAAACTTTTTTCTATAAACTCAACTACAACTCTGGCTTCAAGAATTATATGTCCATTTTTTCGTTCTTGGAAAGATTTTTAAACGCTAAATGCTGAATTCATAAGTTTCGTTTCCATGAATATGCCCATGCTTTTTTTTTTTTCCTTTCTAATGGATTGTCCAGTGGATGGTGAGGAGGGAGCAGGCAGGGAAGCAAATGTTAAGCCCCTGCAATCTGTATTGGCAATGATACAATCTATAGCTCCCAAACATTAGTATTTAGATTAGTGAGCTAAAGTAGGAAGAGGTCCGGTTTGCACCATATACTATTTTAGAATATGAATACTTCTTCCTCTTACGCATTTTCACCTCTCTTCCCCCTCTGTTTTATAACAAAAAAAATACTATATTATGTAGGAACCACCAACAGCAATCAAAATGTGTCGATACCAAGATTGGGAAGATGACCTACCAGATAGTGAAGTTCATGATGAATATCCTGGCAGAGATGCAGTGACTGCTTTTATACGCCAAATTGAACTACAAATGAATGAAATTAGGGGATTTTTGGACAACATGAAAGCTGATAGTTCCAAAAAGCCAAACAAATTTTGGTCCGGATTCTTGTCAGGCGCCTGTTTCACCATACTGCTCAACTATGTGATCAAGTACGTAACTAGTAACTAGTAACTAGTAACTAGTTAGGGTTGATTTTGTATAGCAATTTGACATCCCAGACCTTATTCAGGTTCAGTGCACTTCTAATGGCGTTTGTGTTCATTTCTATTCATGTTGTGAAGAAAGAAACTCCTGTGGTTGTGGATGTTTTGACTTGTACAATTTATTTGGCTGCTTTATGGCACCTATCTCCCCTTTAATGAAATTGTGAAGCATGCCATATTAGTTTTGTTATGTGAAGCACATATTTCTTGCCATGGAAAGGTAGCATAGTGGTAGACTTATTCATAAAAGCCATCTAAAGTGTGACATATTTCATCATCGACAGGAAAGAAATAGATATAAAGCTCACAAGAAGTTGGAAGAACAAATGAAAGTCAAAGAAAACACGATAGTAAATCACAAGGTATTTAGAACTGCTCACTGTTTGCAACAAAGAATAAAATCACAATCACAAATCATAACGCAACCAAACTCAGTGATAGTGCCTAAACCAGCATACGTTCCCTCCAGCCTCAAATTCCTTTCCTTCCTCACCTCTGCTGTGGATCCACCACAACAAATTTGCAAGTGAGTTACCATCATCGTAACCGTTCAAGTTCCTTATCTTCTGCAAAGCACCTTCTTTGTTGTAAATCCCTTCCAAGGAATAAACAAACCCTTTCCATCCTTCTCCAACTCCCTCCCTACTCAGAGCTGGTAAGGTCCACTTCACAAGATCCCTAACAAAGCCAACATCAGAGAACAAGACCTCACTGATTGGCAATAGTGGTAGCAACTGAATTCCAAGCCTGCATTCTCTCCACTCTGGAGGAGCAAACCAAAGACCACTGTCCCTCTTGGTAGCCCACAGAACTCCAACCAACCTATTTACCCTTGTGAAATCTTCCCCATACATGCTATCTCCCTCTCTTACGTGCCACCACGTTTGAGCCGCCTGAATTTCCAATGCTGCAAGCATTGATCCTGTGGCCACAAGATGAGTGTCTCCATAGGCTAACCCCATCAATGCAGCTGAATAATAAGCATTCACTGCCTCACTCGTGCTCTCTTGATTCCGCCCGTCTGCAAATTCAGTTAGCCCACCTGCCCACGAGTGTAATTTGTACAAATCAAAGCACCTCAGACGAGGATAATGTGAATTTGATCGCCTACCAATGGTCAGAAAATCGGCCGCAAGAGAATAAGCTTGAGGCCTGTACTTCCTTCCCCATGCAGGGTCAATCTTTGCAAGCACCGAAATGGCATAAAGAAAGTACCCCAGATGATAGTGGTGATCATTATAAATTCCAAAACCAAAATCTGCACCAGAATCAGTTGCTCCTTGTTTAGTAACAATTCCACCCCATTTGCGATCATACAAGAAACCATTTCCACTGAAACTTCCATCCAGCCATGGCTCAATTGTATCCTTCAAATATTTCCTAATTGCCGGAATCACATCAAGATAAGCCACCTCCTCAGCAATCAAAGCTAACCTTGCCGCTCGGGCAATCAATTTTCCATAAAAATAAGAAGATGTAGTTGTTATTGGGGTTGAATTCAGAGCTTCAACATCTTTCCGAAGTGCAGAAATAATTTCAGCATATGAATCTTCTTTAATACCTCTGGTTGAATGCCAAGTGACTGAAACAGGGTCTGGTTTCAAAACCCATGAATCACCAACAACGCCAACAAGATCACCATCAATGCTTTTGAACTTAAAATCCTCCAAAATAGTAACATCACAATCGTCACCAGAAAGCAGCTGAAGATGGAGAGGATGAGCCAGCATAAGCAAATCACCCCATCCTTTCTTTTCCCATTTATATTCCAAAGAAAATGGCTTCGTGAACACAGCTTCACCCGAAACCGGGTAACACGAGCTGAACTGGTCGAGGGTTGACTCGTATTGTGGATCAGAATCCGGCAATATTGCAATCCGAATAATCCCAGAAAACCCACCAGAAGTGATCAATGACAGGCTGCTGCTAGTCAAATCAATTGGGGATGATGTGTAGATAAGCCATGTTTGATTGTTGTTGAGCTTGATGGTGTATTTGGTGCGTGAGCTATTGGAAGAACAAGAGAGAACTGCATGAATGGTCGAGATTGAAAGCTCAGTGCGGCTAGAAACAGAGCAGGTGACAAAGGGGCTTCCCCGGACTAGAAAGAAGCGGAGATTGGAGGAGGGAAAGTCCAGAGTGACACTGAGATCATTGAATGAAGAGATTTTATGCGTCTCTTGGGAATTGGAGTGTTGTGAGGCAGAGATGGTGAGATCAGCTATGAAAATTTGGTACAGAAAAGCAGAGTTGAAGAAGCGAGATGGGTAAGAGATGGTGAGAGAGGAGGAGGAGGATTTGATTTGGTAGGGGTGAAAATACTCAGGTTGGTCGCCATTTTTGAGTGCAAAGTTTTGGAAGAAAGAGTTTGTGGGGAGAGGGGTTGTGAGGAGGTTAGGGGAGAAGAAATGGGAAGGGTCAGGGAGGACTGTGGATTGGGTTTGAGGGAAGAGGAAAGGGGTGGCGGTTGGTGGCTTGAGGGCTGGCTGTGGTGGCGGTGGCATGATTTTGGGTACTTCAGGAGATGGTGGCGATGGAAATGAAGGTGAAGATGGAGGTGGTTTATAGGGCTTGGGAGGTTTTTTGAAACTCTTGGTGATTAAGATTTTGACTTTTCTTTTAATTTTTTTCAACATTGGATTTGGTGTGAGAACGAGTCGAATTAATGCAACCGAAGGCTGAATGAATGACTCTGAAATAATAATAAATAAATAAAATAAAATAAAATAAAAATATTGATTTTTGATGAGTCGGTGGGAAATGGGTGGAGCCAAGAGGGAAAGTAGGAGGAAATGGTGGGAGGATTTTAGCTGTTAGTTACCAAACTAGGAGGAGGAGGAGGAGGAAGAAGAAGAAGTTTTGTATATATCTTGGAAATTTGGAACCCCACAAAACCCAATTTCTGGGTTTAAGAGGATTGCAAGATATCCAAAAAAGTACTTAAATTTGAAGGAAGGGATAAAAATACCAAGGTGGGTTTTCAGAATGCTTGAGAGCCAAGCAAAAGAAATGTAACCCAAAAGAACAAGAAAACTGTGAATATTTCTTATCTTAGTCATTTGTACTCATGACTTGTTTGGCCTGAAAATGAAAGATAAGGTGAAAAACACAGAATTAGATTCTAGATAATGAAATGGAAATGTGTGATTGATGACTTGATTAAAGAAACAAAAATGAGAAAAATGAATCAATCATGGACCTCAGTTTTTGCATATGAAACATTATTATTTTTCTTTACAATGGCATTTTCGTTCAATTCTTTTCATGCTGTGAAAAACACACTGCTGGTACTGGTTGTTTTTACTTAAAGATAATGCTTCCTTGTGAGCACATGTCTCTTCTGTGAACAGAAAACTAAGCAAAACATTGTAGCTTGCTATTTGGAATGCATCTTTCTTGGCATGAAAAGGAATTGCCAAGCGATATAGATGTTAATGTTTTTGGGTAAGTGAGTGGTAGACATTGTTTATAAATAAGCTGGAAATGAATCTTGAATGTCACATTTCAGAGAAGCACAAGAACAATGACAGAGAGAAACCAGCAAACAAACACACAATTCACTTGGAAGAACAAATAGAAGCCAACAATATGTGGTGCATTCCGAAAGAAGCTCAACCAGCGAACGGCACGCAATTAACTTAGAAAAGCAAATAAAAGTGAACAGAATATAGCTTAGACAAAGAAGCTGAACTAAAAAACAGAAGTCATCCAAAATGGCATAGAAAGGATTAACCAACAAAACATAACTCTGTCTAAGCCCCCATTCTAAGTCCACAACCCTCTCATTTTCCCTCACCTCTACTGTGAATCCACCATAAAAGATTAGTGAGAGAATTCCCATCATCAAAACCCTTCAACTTCCTGATCTTCTTCAATGCATTTTCTTTGTTGGAAATCCCTTCCAAGGCATAAGCAAACCCTTTCCATTTCTCAGTATGTAGAGCAGGTGATGTCCATTTCACAAGTTGTTTGACGCAAGTTGTTTGACATAGCCAACATCAGAGAACAAGACCTCAGTGATTGGCAATATGGGCAGGACCTGAATTCCAAGCCTCTCCAGTCTGGAGGAGCAAACCAAAGTCCACTTTCCCTCTTGTTAGCCCATAAAACTCCCACCACTCGATTATTCCTTGTGAAATCTCCCTCATAAAGTTTACCTCCCTCTTTCACATGCCACCAAACTTTAACTGCATGAATTTCAAAACTGAAATTGAGGAATGGAAAACGCAAATCGGAGTATAGTTCTAATTGATTAAATTTTGTCACATACATAAGAATTTGTTAATTTGCATGCTACCAACTACAAAAAAAAATGAAGGAAAAAAACACAACCTAAAGACTAATCAAAGATCCTACTGTGAACCTAAGTTCCTACTATGAATCCACCACAGGATATTAGTGAGAGAGTTTCCATCATCAAAACCCTTCAAGCTCTTAATCTTCTCCAAAGCACCATCCTTATCATAAATCCCTTGCAAGGCATAGACAAAACCCTTCCATCCTTCCTCAACTCCTTCTCTACTCAGAGATGGCAATGCCCATTCCACAATTTCCTTAGCAAAGCCATCATCAGAGAACAAGATCTCAGTGATTGGGGATAGGGGCAGCAATTGAATTCCAAGCCTCATTTCTTTTGCCTCTGGAGGAGCAAACCAAAGTCCACTGTCTCTCTTGTTTGCCCATAAAATTCCCATAATCCTATTTTCCTTTGTGAACGCTTCGTCGTAAAGTGTATCTCCTTCTCTTACATGCCACCACATTTGAGCTGCTTGAATTTCCAAAGCTGTAAGCATTGATCCACTGTCAAAAAGATTGGTGTCTCCATAGGCTAGGCCCATTAATGCAGCTGAATAGTAAGCATTCACTGCCTCACTTGTGCTCTCTTGGTTCCTTCCGTCCCCAAATTCAGCCAGTCCTCCAGCCCAAGAGTGTAGTGTGTACATATCAAAGCATCTCAACTTCGGATAGTTTGAATTCGATTGGTTGCCCAAGTTGATGAAATCTGCTGCAAGAGAGTAAGCTTGAGGCTTGTACTTGATCCCCCATGCAGGATCAATCTTTGCAAGCACTGAAATACCATACACAAAATATCCTATATGGTAATGGTGATCATTATAAACTCCAAACCCGAAATCTGCACCCCGATCAGTTGATCCTTGTTTGGTGACAAGTCCACCCCAT